CAATAAGCGAGTAAATATTTGTCGTAGGTGCTAGCTTATAAGAAATGTTAAAATTAGTAAAACATGATATATAAATAATAATATTAATATTTTTGTTATCAGTGCATGTGTGTACGTGTGTGGAAGAAAGGATGTGTGAGTATGTGTATATGCGTTCGTCTATGTGCGTGTTTATATGTATATGTATGTGTGTATGTGTGTGTGTGTGTGTGTGTGTGTGTGTGTGTGTGTGTGTGTGTGTGTATGAATGTACATGCTTGTGTGTGTTCTTGTGAGTGTGTGTGTGTGTGTGTGTGTGTGTGTGTGTGTGTGTGTGCGTGTGTGGGTGGGTGTGTGTGTGGGTGTGAGTGTGTGCGCGTGGGTGTGTGTGTGAGTGTGTGTGTGTGTGTGTGTGTGTGTGTGTGTGTGGTCAACACCAAGCCAGCGTTGCAGTGTCTGGACAACACAGATGCCTCATATAATATCTATCTTATCTATTGTAGTTTTAACAAAAAAATATTTGTTATCATAATCATCTGGTGCTATTCCGACTGGCGTGGACGATCATGGACGTCCACTTCACTGTCTTGCGCTGCAGCAATGTTGTATGTCGTTTTTCCTGTTCCCAGGTATGTTGTCAAGTATATTTTCCCTCTGTCTGCTTCTGCCACTTTTTCCACTAAACTTGACTGTTGTTGCAACATTCTCTAATACCTCTTTCTGCATTGTGTGTCCAATGAACTGTGCCTGTCGCTTTCGTATATTCGTCACAAGCTGTCGTCAGCAATGTGCTTAACCCAAGACTTTTTTTTATTAATTGTTTTTCTAGCTGTCCATGGGATATGCAGCATGCGTCTTATGAACCAAAACTCTGTAGCCTCAATTGCTCTTTCCAGCTGTTCGTTGATTGTCAGTGCTTCGCATCCGTACAATCGGATTGACTAAGTGTAACTTTTCAGTATTCTTTTTTTGTTTTGTTTCCAGTGACATATTGATATTCGTAAGTACCTGTTTCATTTTGAGGAAGATTGAAGATATAACGGTCCCCAAATATTTAAAATGTTGTACTTGCCTGAGGGCGGTACCATTGATTTTGATATCTTAGGTTGGGGTTGGATTTTTCTGCTTCTCACCATTGTTTCAGTTTTTTTTATGGTTAGGCTTAGGCCCGTGTTGTTACTCTTTTGTACAATGACATTTAATAGATCCTGTAGGTGTTCTTCATTTTTTGCGACTAGCACTGTGTCGTCAGCATATCTTAGACAACATGAAATATTTGTAAGAAATTCAAGTTCCGAATATTTTTTAAAGGGGAAAAACACAAAACATAGGTGAACGTATGTGCAATTTGCAAAAAGAAATGAACCATTTATTAGTTTTGTTTGTGTTCTTAAAAGTTTCGTTTTCTGAGCTGAGAACATTATCTGAACAGCCTGCAGACATATTACAGTGGAACTCAGATTCAGCAAGGTCGCCGGGCCTGACCTAAAACCTCGTTGAATCCGAGTGTTCGCTATAGCAAACAGGGGCGAAGGCTGACTTGTTTGACAGGGTAATCAAAGTGAAACGGGACCAGATATGGCCTGGAGATATCACACAAGAATCTTACTCGAGGCGGCGACTCTGAGTTGTGAATGAAAACAAATCCGGAATTCATATTGTATGTTCAACCGCCAAAATAATCGGGAAAGTATCTTATTAAATATCAATTCCAACTAAAATTAAAAATAACTTTAGATGTGAATACACAAATACAAAGCAAAGAAGCAGATATGTCAGCACTAAATCTATATGTTATAGATCTACCAGTGAGTGTAACTCTTTGGTAGAACATGACAATTATCCTTTTTTAAATTTCACATTTGGCTGTTTTTGTCTAGCCTTTCGCGCCCAGGAGGCGGTGTCATAATCGAGGTCACGATCTGATTATAGGACGGTAAAAAGTCGAGGAAACAAAAACAAGCACTTGCAGCAGTCAAGAGATTATTAGGAGTTAGGTCCCCTCACATGTGTGAGGTAGACTCGACCAGTGTTAGTTAGCTTACATAATCAGGGCTTCTGATTGCTTATAACTGTGGCCCGAAAGGGGTGAACAGGGTATATGCGGCAATGAAACAGTTTTGACTGCTATGTTCCCTTCAATTCTATTGGTAGACTCTTCCAGCCTCACTTTAAGCTTACTTAATCAAACCTTGCGATTGCTTGTGGACTGGCCCGAGAGGGGTGAGCAGGCTATTTCTGTGGCCGTGAAACCGTTTTTAATTTTGGGCATACTGTTCATTGTTGGTTATGAACGTCTTTTCACATTTAATCTATTAGGCTTACGTTTATGGGTGAAATTGACAGCGACAATGTTTCAAAATTAGGAAGGGAAGCAGTGATTATTTGATTATATAGACGCTTCGCCACTGAAACACGGTTTTGTGTAGACAATTGCAGGCACTGAGCAAGTTATATATATAGAGAGAGAAGTCACAAGTAGTGCCTGAAATTATGCCTACATATTATGAGATGTGAAAAAAGACCGTTTCGTTCAAATACACACGCCTGTGTCATCTCGACTGTTTACCAAAAAGTTGAGTTGCTGTGTAGAGCCTAGCAAACGGCAACGTTTCTTTCTATAGACCAGCGCACAATTCATTACGTAGATCTACGTCAAGATTAGCTTTTCATTGTATTAATGATCAGTTGCCGAGGGGAAAAGAAAAGACTTACGCGTTTTGTATCTGCGACGTTCAACGCCCGGAACGCTATGTGATGGGCAGGTATCTATTAGGAATGGATACGCAGATACATATCGGTATTGATAGCGGTATCGATACCTGCTCTAAACATCGATACCTATATGTTATTTATCCCAGGGCTGCCAGGGCTATTTACTTGGGCCTTGAGAATTTGTTGTTTAACAAAACTGATGTTTTCGTAAGGGGGTTTG